CTTTCAATGACCCGTACTTTGACTGCTCATAATACGGGTACTGCCCTCGCACAGAAGCACCTTTACCCCCATATCATCTAGTAATAGGGGGTGGGGTATTGAATGTCATGGGCGGTAACCTTCAAGACCACCCCACTCCCCTCGAAACTTTAACAGACGACATGTTTTAAGGCTGCGAAAACGTTTTAGAAGGATACGGATAATCATAAAATAAATATAAATTGGAAACACAGTAGAAAAGACTTAGAAATTCAATACTAAGGTTCGAAAATATTTTGTAACTGATTCAAATTCATTGTGTACTGTGTTTCTGGGTTTGGTACAAGAATGAAGTCACCGGGTCCTTTTCTGCTAGTGCTTTCACAAATAGGGGGTAGGGTAGTCCCCCCTGTTCCCCACCCATCCCTATTTCAGGGATTTGAATTTTTTCCACAGGCCAGTCGCCACGGCACAAGTTGAGAGACATGTCAGTGGGATCTTGAAATTTGGCCTGGCATTTTGAACATTAAAACATTGATTAACCATGTCAGGACCAAATCTATCAAATCCGTCATCCCCACCTTTGCAAGGAAGTTCGTGCAGACGTCGCAAACAAACGATCACCCTGGAAGACGATGAATTGCTCACCTGGGAGTCTCTGGCAAGTCGAGCGGGCTTCCTCTATAAACAAGGAAAATGGCAAGGACAACCTAATGTCAATGCTTGCCTGAAGGCCATAGGTTTGAAAAGAGATTATTTGTATAATTCAAATCTTTGTAACACCTGAGATGCAGGTAGATCTCCTGAGTTGTTGCTTCGAATCTTACAAGAGTATGAGGAGCAGAGAGGTTTTAGTCATCATGTGGATGAAGCCATACGCGAAGGGATTATTTCCGACTCTGATGAACCAATTCCGGCTTGTTACGATTCTATCAAAGATCCAAAAGTGAAAACAGCGATTCTGAAGAAGATCCAGGGTGACACTGATGAGGACCTTCTAGATGTGGTCACGAAGAAGGTAGATCGGCACTTTGCGTCACACAAGGCCAATTGTCGAGTGAAATGGGGACATTTTGCTGATCTATTTCACCACCAGTGTGAGGATGACTCTGGACAGGAAGCGGCCGAGGGGCCTCGAAAGCAGAAGAAGTGCAAAACTTCGAAATACGATAGCCTTACGTTCTTTGAAGGCATTCTGAGCAGTCAAGCCTTCAAGACAGTCATAAAAAATGAACTTGCCACGAATAAGGAGCTTCAAAACTGCCTGAAACCTGCGGTCAGGCAAATGATGCCGAGCGCGCGAGAGGCAGCAGTTGCCCTGACAGCAAACGGTATAACGAAATCGCAGTACCAAGGATTCTGTCGTGCAAACGATAGCATGGCTGGCTGCTTTATTCCAATGCCAAAAATATCACGGGTTAGAGTACAAGAGAAGCATGCGATGTGCGAAAGATTCAAACTGTTCTGTTTGCCAGATGGGACACATTGTCTCGGCCTCCTTCAACTTGTCGAAGAGTGGATTGATATCTTCAAACTTCACGGGAAGCATCGCCTTGTTATCACGATCAACTATGACTGTGCAACAATGACTTTCTCGGCTGGCAATCCTCAGAAGGCAACTGAAGTCACCATTTCCATTTTCCCTTACGGCGTAGACTGTTCGAAGAAAGAATGGAAATTCTGGCAAAAGCTTGTCCGAAGTTCATCATGCCTTATGACGATGTCCTACATTCCATATGGAGACAGTCCTGAGGTTTTTCAGAGGACTGTGAGAGCTGCATATGATCAAGTTATTGATCTCTTGAAGGAGAAAGGTATTCACGTCTACAACAATCAAGCACCAGGCTACTTTTGCTAACAGTGGAACACTTAATTGCCTCTGCTTCAAGATTCAAGTGGAGTTCGTCAAGAGAT